CGGCTGTTTGCGTGTGTGGGAGTGTGTGTGTGTGCGCGCGCGGAGAGAGTGCTCCATGGGAAGTCGGTCTTGGGGGAAGCGGAGGGTCTCCTTGAAGGGTGCAGTGGGCTGGAGGTGCAGTAGCCAGGGTGCCCAAAGAATCTCGGATGGAGGGTGGTAGAGCTCCTGCTCCCAGCCAGCATGCCACCTCACCTGCGTCCGGGCCTGTAGGACACACGATCACAGCGCAGGGCCCAACGCCTCCCCCCCCCCCCCCCCCCCCCCCTCCGCCACACCCCTGCAGCTTCAACTTCCTGGAGATTGTGGAGCTGCTGAACGTCGTGTACTGCATGGCCATGCTCCTGGAGTTTGCGGCCTTCATCTGGCTGCGCATCAAGTGCGAGGGGGGTGGGGAGAGGCTGGGAGGCGTACATCATGTGTGGCATGTGCGGGGCCCCTCGGACATGTCCCTGGGGCGCCTGTTGCTGCGTGAAGCCATCAGGAATGCGCCGTACGATTGCAGGGCGGTAAGGATGCCCAAAAACCCTCCTCCTCATCTCAACACCCCAGGTACCCGAGCCTGAGGCGGCCGTACAGGGTGCCGCTGCCGCTGTGGGGCTGCGCGGCCATGCTCCTGCCCGCCAGCGCCCTGCTCCTCATTCTGCTCATCGGGCCCATAATCCAGGTGAGGGGCAGCGGGCAAGGGTGCTGCTAAGCTCAGCCAGGCTCTGACCTGGACGGCGGGTTGAGCTCATGATATGTCATCATGGCCTGCCCATGGGGGCGGCGCGCCATCTGCCGAGGAATCCCTCGCGATCCTCCCGGCACCGCCCACCCCCACCCCTGCATCCAGGGCAAGACGTCGGTGATCCTATTCACGGCGGGGGCGTGCGTGCTGGGCTGCACTCTGTACCCCCTGCTGCAGACCGCGCGCTCGAGGGGCTGGATGGCCTTCAGGGGGACGTCGCCCAGGGAGTTCCGCGAGATCCTGTACTCCATGTACAGCCCGGTACCGGAGGCGCCCGCCGCCACAGCACCACCCACCTGGTTGGAGAATGAATGACTTGCGCACTGAATAACAAATCGGGCGCGCGCACGTTGTACACCCTCACCAGCAGCAGAGCTGCGGTAAAGGTCGATGGAGTTGGACCTCGGGCGACGAGATCCCCGTCGGCACGGTGTCCCGGCTTCCGACACTCTCCGACACCGCCATGGACCACCGCCGCGGTGTCGCATGGTCGCTCCAGTTTTCGCCGTTCATCGCATCATAAAGATAGTCTCCCGCTCCAACACGACAGTTGCGACGTTGGCTTGTCAAGCGCGACAGTAGGATCGCCCTTTAATCCTACGTATGCAGACGGAGGGTGATGCGGATAAACACCCCGGTTAGGCATGGGGTGTACGCAGGATATAAGAAGTACGCCAGTCCCCTGATCGACCGATTATTTTAACACAACCCTTAATTTGTATACTCGCATTCTCACCCATCCCTTTCGGCAGCTTCACTCCTCCCGATGGCTGCCCCTCCCGACCACCCCAGCGAGGGTGTGCTGAGCGGCACCTCCCCCTCCGACACCGTGCGCGCCTGGCTGTCCTCCCTGGACAGCGCCCTGCGTGCGCGTGACGCCGTGACCGCCGCCTCCCTGTTCGAGGAGGAGGGCCTGTGGCGCGACCTGGTGTGCATGACCTGGAACCTGAAAACTTGCGAGGGTCGGGGCGAGATCGCGGCCATGCTGGGCGCCTGCCTGGACCAGGCCTCCCCCCGCGACTGGACCCTGGAGGGCGAGGCCACCGCCGCCTCCTCCCCCGTCACCGGCGACACGGTGGAGGGCTGGATCCGGTTCCGCACCGCCGCACTGGAGTGCAAGGGTTACCTGCGACTGCGCGCGGGCCGCGCCTGGACGCTGCTCACCGCGGCGCAGGGCCTGGTGGACTTCCCCGAGCCCAGCGGCGCCAACCGGCCCATGGGCGCGGAGCACGGCGCCCGGCGCAACCGCACCACCTGGCTGGACGAGCGCCAGCGCGAGGCGCGCGAGCTGGGGCGCAGCGTGCAGCCCTACGCCGTGATCGTGGGCGGCGGGCAGGGCGCGCTGGCGCTGGCGGCGCGCCTGCGCCAGGCGCGCGTGCCCACCATCGTGCTGGAGCGCAACGCGCGCCCCGGCGACAGCTGGCGCCGGCGCTATAAGCCGCTGTGCCTGCACGACCCGGTCTGGTATGACCACCTGCCCTACCTTCCCTTCCCCGACACCTGGCCCGTGTTCACGCCCAAGGACAAGATCGGGGACTGGCTGGAGATGTATGCCAAGGTCATGGAGATCAACTACTGGGCCAGCACCACCTGCAAGAAGGCGGAGTGGGACGAGGCCGCGCAGGAGTGGGCCGTGCATGTCACCCGCGTGGGCGAGGACGGCGCGGCCGGTGGGTTTGTTGATTGTGTGGCGGTGTTTGTCCGGATTGGTCGTGTTTTGGTGGGGTTCGTGGAAGGGGGGGATTGTTGTCCAATGGGGCCACTCCTGGATTGTGTGTGGGCCGACAATCCCACCCCGCAGGACCCCAGTTCAGTCATCTCCTCAAGACCCTTGGCTCACCCCATCCACCGCCCTCCAATTCCCTCAGAGGACATCACACTGCGCCCCAAGCAGCTCATCATGGCCACCGGCATGAGCGGGCGCCCCTCCATGCCCATCATTCCCGGCGCAGAGACCTTCCAGGGCGACTACCACCACTCCTCCCAGCACCCGGGTGCCGAGCCGTACTGCGGCAAGGACTGCGTGATCCTGGGGTCCAACAACTCCGCCCACGACATCGCCGCAGATCTGTGGGAGAACGGCGCCAAGTCGGTGACCATCGTCCAGCGCTCCTCCACCCATGTCATCCGCTCCCAGACCTTCACCGACCTCATCACGGGGCCGCTGTACAGCGAGGAGGCCATGAAGGCGGGGATCACCACCGAGAAGGCCGACATGCTCTTCGCCTCCATCCCCTACAAGGTGTGTGTGTTAATCCGTTTGGGGTGGGGGTGGGGGGGGGTGGAAGGGAGGAGTGGCCCTCACAGGCAAAGGGGCCCACACTCGCTCCTCTTCACCAGAGAGCCAACCTCTCTTCTCTTCGGGACCCTCTTCCAAAGGTGCTGCCCGCCATCCACCGCGCGGTCAACGAGGTGGTGAAGGAGCGCGACGCTGACTTCTACGCCGCGCTTCGTGCCAAGGGCTTCCTGCTGGACTTTGGCGACGACGACTCCGGCCTGTTCCTCAAGTACCTGCGCCGCGGGTCGGGGTACTACATCGACGTCGGTGCCTCGGGCCTGGTCCTGTCCGGCGAGGTGAGCCTGCGCTCCGGGGTCAGCATCGCGCGCGTCAACCCGCGCAGCGTGACGCTCACCGACGGCTCCGAGCTCCCCGCCGACCTGGTGGTCCTGGCCACCGGCTTCGGCTCCATGAACGGCTGGGCGGAGGAGCTCATTTCCAAAGACGTGGCGGACCGCGTGGGGCGGTGCTGGGGCCTGGGCTCCGGCACCACCAAGGACCCGGGCCCGTGGGAGGGGGAGCTGCGCAACATGTGGAAGCCCACCGCGGTGCCCGCCCTCTGGTTCCACGGCGGCAACCTGCACCAGTCGCGCCACTACAGCAAGTACCTGGCCCTGCAGATCAAGGCGCGGTACGAGGGCCTGCCCACGCCCGTGTACGGCCAGGCCAAAGTTCACCATATCGCCTGAGCGGCGAATAGGGAGCGTTCTGGTCCAACAGGACACCCATTCCCCCTCGCTCACTGAGCCCCAAACCCACAGTGCGGGGCAATCGTTTTCACATTGGTGGCGTTTTCCCTGCGGCGTATACCCCGCCATGTCCACCCTCTTTGTTTTCAACACCCTCCCTCCCTGTGTGGCAGCTGCCCGTGTGCAACCGCCGCGACAAAGTTTTCCATAGCCTGGGTCCATCGCCCCTCGTGCCCTGTAAGCTACACCGATCTCCAAGATTGGATGAACAGCGTGGTCCACAAGCATGCATGCCGTCACATGGCGTTCAAGCCCGGGTAAGGTCGTACAAACGGCGTGGCACTCGGTCAAATGGTGCATGGGGTCGCCAAGGCTAGGATAGATGGTCTGCTGAAATGCGGTGAATGTGCTTGGGCCCTCTGCAGCCAAGTGGGCAAGGTAGAAACTAAAATTTGAGCCACTCCATGCTACCTCGATGGGCACCACTGCTGGCCTCCCCGTCAGCCCACAAGTACAGACAGAATGAGAGTTCTTGTGAGCTCGTGCCATGAGTCCACAACGTCCACAGGCATCCATTAGCCAAGCATGCTCAGCAGCGCCTGGTGAATCGACGTGAGCGCCGCAGGCAAGCTGCTGAGGCTGGTGGGGGGCCCTTGTGACCGAGGAGCATCCCAAACAAGTAATCCCATTCAGAAAGAGCAACATCCGCTTCAAGCGTGCCACCAGCTCTGGCCCTCTGTGAATCACTGAATCTGTACCATACATGGTGGACACATGTTTTGGATCGAAATGCTGTGTGAGTGATTTGGAATCCCCTGTGACCGTTCACCGCTTCCAAACGCCAGGGATCAACGGAACCACCCCTGACCCGACCCTACGCACGTGGAGGTTTAACCGGTAACTGGTGTGGTCCAGTCTGGCCCCAAATCAAGGAGCGCGAATGCATATGTTTTCGGCGAATTTACTCCTCAGACGGCGGGGAGGGCTCGTACACCGTGTTTCTAGCTGAGGATTCCTCGCAACAGCCCCAAGCCCTTGGGCTGCGAGACCTACACCTAGGGGGGGGGAGCTTGCGCGATGTGCGCCTGGACCTCCTGAACGCTGGCATCCATGGCTCTCAACGATGTATGATGGGGCGCGAGCCTTGCATGTAAAGATGCAGCCCCGGGCCCCGCCCTCATTTGCCCTCCCCCTCCGCAGGTCCCGGACTGGGCGCATAGCAAGCTCGAGCGACGAGCCAACAAGGCCGTACTCTTCCTGCAGCAGCTTACCACCATCCAACAGACTGGAGAGGGGCTCAAGGTTCCCACCATGCCCAAGAGCGCTGTCGTCAGCGCTGAGGTGGGTTTCACGGGAGGGGCCGGTGGGTTGGGCTGGTAGGGGCATCCTTCCCTAATCGGGGGCCCCACGCCCGCCCATCAGGGTCAGCATCCCCTCGCGCACCCTCCACCATGGATGCTTGATCGCTTCTATAGACCGGCCCCTGGCCTCGTGTGGAGATACTGGGCCCCTGCCCATTAGACACCCCATCTCCAGGACGATCCCGAGAATGCTGGTGTGGTTTGGCCCCCCCCACACAAACACACAATTACCAATCCTATATCTTCTCCTCACGACCCTTCCCCTTCTCCACCCTCAAGGGCATCGCCATCAAGTACAAGAGCAAGTACGGGGCCCTCCTCACCCGCACCACCGAGCGCGGCTTCGTCATCCGAAAGCTGACGGGCCCCGGCGGCGAGATCCGGTGGTCCGCCCCCGTCTTCCTCCAGGGCTCCGCCATGGGCGCGGGCCTGTCCGGCGGCTACCGCAAGTCCCGTACCTGCATCGCGCTGGCCAACGACCAGGCGGTGCAGTCGGCGCTGCGCAGCCAGAGCGAGTTTGGCCCCTGCGTGCACTTCCTGCTGGACATGAATGGCACGCGCATCAAGCGCGCGCACTTTGACTCCTCCGACCAGGCCAGCCAGACCGCTGTGAGCCAGGACCGCCACGGCGGCATGACCGCCAAGTACTACCAGGTCGACGCGGCCATGGTTGACATCTCGGTGGAAGGTGAGGGATGGGGTGCAGGACTATGGAATTCCGTTGGTTGGGGTCTACTCTCCAAACCACCACATGCTTGGCACGCCCACCATTCCTCGCCGGCTGCGCGCCCGCAGGCGGCAGTACGTACGTGGACAAGGACTTCAACGCCGCGGTGTACGGGCAGGGGGTGACGGCGGAGGGCATCCTGTCGGGCGAGGTGCCCCCGCCCGCGGAGTTCCAGCTGCTCTACACCGTGCTGCAGCAGTTTGTGGACGAGACACCCAGCCCGGTGGTCAAGCGGGAGCTGGGCGCCAGCGGGCACGGCGCGCGGAGCATCCGCAGCGTGCGCAGCATTAACATGAAGTCCTCGCCTGAGGAGGGCACGGCGCTGCCTGGCGTGGCGCTGCAGCGGAGGACCTCCGCCACGCCCAGCGTGGCTGGCATCAAGGAGTGAGGGGCCGGGGCGCCGCCGCCAAATGTTGATTTTCTCCTGCGCGGCTCCGTGGCACAGCCACCCGCTGCGAGGCTTAATTTTGTAAGCTCCTCCATCCCCGTGGAATTTTTGGGCTGCCAAGCCAGAGGTGCAGTCCGGACGCGCGCGCGCGCGAGGTCACAGTGTTCGGGGATATTACATCGCGCATGATGCAAAGCCCGCATGCGACGCGGCAACAGGGGAGGGCAATCGTGGATCCGCGCATGCCAGGCCTGGATCAGGGGTGCTGCCTTTGTTAACCTTCAGGGCACACCACCGCGGGCCACTGCCCACCAGCGGTGGCTTTTTGCGCTGTCCCGACGGGGACCCCGCCCCGCTGCGCACCCCCGCTCCTACACCATGCAGGCAAGGGTGTATGTATGGGAAGTTTTACAGAGCCTCTGGCGTGGGCACCGTGCCGAGGGCTGTAGCAACGTCACCCCCTTATCCTCCCCCGTGCACAGGTCGGTCACCGCGCCATGCCCCGCCTCTACGCCGTGGGCATGCGATCCGGCCCGGCCCTCCGGCCCCAGCTGCCCCGACCCCTGGCAGTGAGGTGCCTGGCTGCAAAGGCCAAACCCCGCTCCAAGGAAGAGGGTGGGTGGGGTGGGTGGCCTGCAGTGGCCCATGGCCTGCCTCTGGTTCTTGGCGCCTCCTGAGCACAGGACTTCCCGTGGAAACGCAGCAATGCATGCAAGCCTGCGCATGCGCCAGCCCAGCTTCTGACCCTTGCCGTCAGCTTGTGCACCACCTGCAGGCCTGTACAGCAGTACGGTCAACCTGCCCACCACCAGCTTTGATATGCGTGCCAACTCGGTGGTGCGGGAGCCCCAGATCCAAGCGTTCTGGGAGGAGAAGGGGGTGTACCAGAAGCTGTCGCGGAACAACCCTGGGGTGAGTGGCGCGGATCGGGGGGTGCTTGGGGTACACGTATGGCACGATGGTGCGGCCGCTTGTCTCTGCAGGGCCGTGCCTGCCGGCCATGGTCCCCGCACCCAGCTTGATTGCCCCAGGGAGTGTATGCAGTCCAATCCCCCCGACACCCTCTGATGGCAGGAAGTGTACACGTTGCATGACGGGCCGCCCTACGCAAACGGCGACTTGCACATGGGACATGCACTGAACAAGATCCTCAAGGACATCGTGAACCGGCATCAGCTGCTCCAGGTATGGCGAGCAGAGCAGGCTCTGCTCATCACATGAAGCCTTGGTGAAAGAAGACGGAGGGCATCGATTTGTGTGTCTCTCTGGTCCTTCGACGCCTGCTCAACACCGAGATGACATTGTGGTCAAAGTCCGCCTGATTCACCGAGGTTGATCGCCGCCATACAG